ATCCAGTCTTTGGAGGCCTAGCGGCCCGTCTCATGTTAGTATCCGGAATCAGCACATTCGATTACCTATTGTTCACTAAGTTTTAAGCTAGAAGCGATTTATCACTTGGTGTCCTTTCCTCGTTAGTCTTTGCTATTTAAATAGAAACATCGTATGGATAGGCAATACTTATGGCAAAAAAAACGTTCTATCAAGCTCGGTTGAGTCGTAGCATAGTGCACTCTAAAAAAAGCGTCGTTTACTAAGCCCAAAAGTGGTTTGGTCAAATACAATGACACGCCACCGCTTCAAAAATTTAGTAAAAAACCCTTTTAGGGTTTAGTATGCTTACTAAATCCCTAAAAAAGGGTTTAGTAAATGGTTTTTGACGTCTTGTTAAATCTTTTTCTACTTTTGACTATAGCTTTCTGCTTTATAATTAGAAAAAACATATTCTCTACGTTCAAATCGGGCTGAATCCAGCTCACTCACCGTCCCAGCCAAAGGTTGACTGTCGACCGATCAACCAAACAAAGTGCCTTGTCAGGTAACTTGATGTGACTCTCGCGAATGTTTCTGAGTGTTCACTCTCACCTACCCGACGCAAAAGAAGTTGAAGTCTGATGCCTATTTTGCTAAGTTCTGATGGATTATAGATGAAACACCAGAGTTTATAATCCTAACATCTGACCGAATTCTGCTATACGTTATTAAATTCTGACGAAGATATATTCCAGTAAGAAAATCGAATGAAAAATAAAAAATGAGTGTATAGGATGTTAAATTGTGCTGAGTGGAAAATTCTTACTGGAATATATCTTCGTCAGAATTTAATAACGTATGGCCGAATCCAGTGACATACACCAGATGTTAGGATTCTAAAGTCGGGTGTTTCATCTATAATCCATCAGAACTTAGTAAAATAGGCATCAGAATTCAACTTCTTTTGCATCGGGCAGGTGAGAGTGAACACTTAGACACATTCGCGAGAGTTTAGGATCAAAAAGATGGCTTAATTATGGTGGAAATCTCGAATTTTATTTACTAGAACTCTGACAACCCTCATTTATATACCAAATATCACGAGTATAAATAAAATTTAAAAGGAAGATAATAAAATATTATTTTAGAATAATAATTAATAATAAATATTACGAGTATGGATAAAATTAAAGAAAAAATAAAATGAATAATCATAAAGGATCATTTTAAATCTGTTTTTGAAAAATTTAGGTATGATTATCATATGAAAACTACCTGCTTTTTCCTCGCAACTATTCAAGCCGGGAGACCGATATTCGGATCGGACATGTCGAGAAACAGTGTTCACCTAAGTTTCGTCTTGACGGCAGACAAAAACTTCCCGTCGAAATTTTTGCTTGAGGTCCCCCTCAGATGTTTTGCCTAAAATTTAGGACGAAAACGCTTTTTTCAAAACGCGTCGAATTATATATCATTCGATGCAGGTTTTTTCGTAGATTCCGAATATCACATTGGTTTGGCATAAAAATGCTTCTGAACGTTTAAAACTTAAGTTTTTCACTTTTTCCGTTCTGCATATATAAGTTCGTGTTCACTGTGAAAAAGAGAAAATATGTTTTTTTATTCTCTCTTCCCATATGATAAAACACGTTCTTATTTTTCTATCGCGTCATCGATATAAGGAACATTTAGTCGATTGTTATATTTTGTGATTTGAGCGAGAAAAGGTGTCTCTCAATCACATACTGATAATCTACCAGTATGCATAAAATTTTAAGCTCTATCCGAATTTGAATGTTTTACATTTCGGAAACGCGTATTGTCAGAAATATACGCGTTTCAAGAAAAACTTAATTAAGATAAAAACTCGCTTTTCGACTTAATTACCAAATTCTAAGTTCTAATTTTAGTCTCATTAGATAGAGCACGTAAAATTACATATGTTTTACCTGGCTTTCTCTTGGGGAACTTGATGCACTCATTTTAGGTTCAACTAGAGATTGATCTCAAAATAAGTACATATAGAGCAAATAAACTTGAATTAGGTCTTTTTTTCGTTATCAGGTTATATAATGCCAACATTGGTGATTAAGGAAAAAACGTTTCCCGACCGTCAGTCTCTTCGTTCTCTTAAAATTTAGCTTTTTCTTGTTATAGTTACCGAGGATATTTATGAAACTGGCTTATCACGCAAGCAACACGTTTCAGTGGGGCAATGACAGGTGCTGGAGCAGTTGAACTGGAGTCTCGAACTGGAGTACAACTGATCTAGTTTTGTCTTTGGATGAATTTTTCGGTGGAAAAGCTTGGCTAGGACCCCACAGTTATTAAATCGAATCAGCCATCTACCGAATGAATAAAATTCGCACACTAACGCATATGATAACTGGTGATCAAGATATTCGTGTGCCAATAAGTCAGAGTATATTGATGGAATGGATTCTGTTTAGTTTTAATACTCCACATAAACAATTGTTCTTCCCAGGACAAGGACATTCATTAGATAAAAATCTATGCTATGGAAAAATAAAAAGTTCGTGTAGAACTTAAATGGTTACACAAATATAGCAATAATAGCGAAATTCTCTTTCAAGATATTTGAAACATTCGCCTTCGAAGAGCTTTTTTGGATAAAAATAATTTTCGCCACAATGTCAACCATGAAGTGATGCGAAGTTTAGGAAACTTTATATTTGAGTCCATATGACACATACCACCACCTACATCGACATTCGGCACAAATACAAATTTTGATTTTTTACTCAGTTTTATATCGCACGCTTAATCGCTAGATATATATATGTTGGTCAAGAGAGAAATAGCGGACTCCTGGACTTCAGGAGTCCATGGGAGTCCATGGCCAGGAGTCCGCTATTTCCGCCTTGATGTTAGTTCATACTATGTTTTTGCCAACATGATTTCTTTCTAGATCCATCGGGTATTGTATGGTGTAATCTGATCAACCCGATATGTTTTACACTTTTATCTAGATACTTTTGACGGAGAATCGGGCGGCACTCCACGAGTGTGACCACTATGATGAAGGAGAAATACAGATTTTTTTGGTATGGCTTTTTGAGTTTTGAGCTCTGGTGCTGGTGAGACTGATGGTGAGGGGGGAGGGGTGTAACGGCTCATCACCATTACATTATTCTCCATGCTTGACCTTTTCACAGTTCATATTGTCGTTTCATAAGTCGTTTCCGGAGAACAAAACGAAAAACAAGTCATAATCGAAAGCAAATTTCGATTCTTTTATCATTCTTGTCAATTTTCAACCTAAAATTCAGATCTCTTCTTGTTAATTTTTAACTTCAAGTTAACATCTCTCTCTCATTCGTCTCAACTTTCAAATTCAAATTCACATCTCTTCTCTTCTTCTTCTCTCATATACAGGGAAGGAGGAGCTTTAATATTCTATTTAAAGAATTTATATAAATTAAATTTTATACTTAGCTTTTATTTCATACTTGATAATTTAGTATTTGCGTTTGCAATACTTCTTTTCTTTTCTTCTTCCTTACATTAGCATCTCAATACATTAGATTCCACCACATTCTTCTCGAGACAACAAAGAAGAATATAACCTATTCAATTAATTGAACCTCAACATTAAACTTCAGATTGTTCGGACAACTTTTTGTATACAACTTTTATCATTCAACTAGTAACAATTGTTGCTGTTGGTAGAATAGAATAGGGTGTTGTTTTGTGAAGCTGTTAGTAGGGCCTAATTAGCGTCACAAATTGGAGGTTCTACGCAGATTCTAGTATAACATTTCGCACAACTCTTTCTATACAACTTTTATCAATCAACTAGTAATAATTGTTGCTGTTGGTCGTGTAAGCAGTCGTCGTGTAAGATGCACTGTAGAGTTTAAAAGTATATGATTTATAAATATTTATAACTCCAACCATTTATAACTATTTTAACTTTTAGTAAAAAGTTTAAAATAGTTATAAATCGGGTTGAGATTTATAAATGAACGTCGGCAGATTGCAGCTTTTTTATTCAGTCAATCTTTTATAACTCGATTTGGAACAAAACTATATCCTTTTTGCATAAAATTACACATATTTGCACAACAGTTAAATAAGAAGAAAAGAAAGACTATATGCTTGTAATAAATAGAGGGCGAAGAATATCATCAATGTTGTAATCGTCATTATGACCGTCATCATCGGTTGCTTCTGTTGGAGTACTTTCATCAGCCAACACTTTTGTCAATTCCCGATCGTCACGGTTGATCATTGTTGTTAAATCTAATAAATCTTTATCTTCGATATTTTGTTCGTCAATTTTATCGGTACCAGCTAATTCACATAAAATTCGTTGATTCTCGTCTACTGTTTGCATAAATGTTTCTAAACTGTTTGATAAAACATTTGTGATTATAGTTGGACTTTTTCCTGTTGTAGGTTTCAACTCGTCCGTTAAACAGTCCTGAATTTTTTCCATATCGATAGATGATTCATTATTAAAAGCATTTTTATGATACGTGTAAATTTTTTATATACTTTCCAATGTGAATGGACTTAGTTTATTTCTTCGTTTTGTATTTTGCCAATCTAACATTGAAAATAAACGTTCTGACATAACAGCATGTGGAACTATTGAAAATAATTGTAATGCTATGTTTTTTAGACTGTTCCCGTTTATTTCATCGCGTATCATCGACCACCATGATATTGGATTGTCATGTTTTGTATACATTATTGAATATGATCCATGCTTAATTTCATAACATTGTAATGAACTTACAACACTTTTTGCAGTAGATGCCTGAAATATTCAAAAACCTTTTAGTCGACGGAGAAGTGAACAACCGATTTATAAATCTCAACCCGATTTATAAATCAACTCAACTTTTAACTTTTCAAATTACTTTTGAACTCTGCAATGGTAAGATGTTATACATATGTATGGAGTTGTTGTGGCCAATAGCTGTAATAATGTCATTTAATAATAATAATGCCCGAAAATGTTTCACACATTTAAAACGAGATCTAGATTAAATTGTACTAAAAGTTGTCTACGATGTCGACAGACTATAGAGTAGGAGTCAATTCAGAAGTTTCAAACAGTTTGGTTTTCAAACCCTGTTTCTGCTCAAGAAACAAGAAATCGGTATGTTCTGTGAGAGAAAACTTCTTGGCCAAAACCACTGAGACGTTAACACTGCACAACATGTCAGTTTATATATAAATAATTAGATTTTACAAGTACCAACTGCAACACATATAAGTTTAACAGAATCTATGTTCTAATCAAAAACTGATGTCCATTGATATTCAATAGAATGAATAAAACGCGTGGTGATTCGAGACTATCTGATGGTCCCGAGTTATAAAAATGAGTAAAAAATCCAAGTTTTCCTGTGAACGGAGGCCGTTTTCACCATGAAATAGATCGCTATCATAGTAAAAGTACACGTCTATAGCGTAGACAAATTACAAATCGAGTATTGTATGCGTAAAGACATTGTCAAACGCTGCTGGATACGTGGAGGTCCTATTGGACCATTAATTCATTCCTAACATCCCCAAGTAATGATGCTACTTAATAATTCTTCCGCTCGCAGTCTCTTGCAGTCGCAAAAAATAAATAGAAAAATATAAGTGGCGTGATGCAAAAAACTGGTTACAATAGCGAAGTTATTGCAAAATTCTGCATATTTCACAACAAAATATCTACGAAATTCTGTATGCGTAGACTCTTTTTTGCAAAATTTTGTGCGCAAGTCGTTCTTTTTTGCGTTATTCTAATGTTTAACGCCAAATTCTTCAAAAAATTCCTATATGGGATCATTTAGACCAAAGATTTTGATGAATTTGAGCAAAAGACGCAAGTCAAAAGTTAAATCCTTGCCGAGATATTGAAGTTTTACGGAAGGTCCCGAGAAACGTCGATTCTTTTTTCTTAAACATCTGCTAACTTTAAACGCTTGTAACTCAGTAACGACAGATTGTCTAACCTGGAACATTTCGAGGCACCAGCGGCCTCTGGTGCTTCCGTTTTCAATACATACGATTTGAAAGTTGCAATTTCTCCGTAGAAACAGGGTCATTCTGCAGCCCCCTAGTACGGACCTCGAGTACACCAGATAGACTACCATAGTCCATTCTGTTGTTTGTGGGTTTCGCTAAAATGGCTTTGGGATCCCGGCTACCGGGACTGAGTTCTAGATGCTTCTTTTAGTCAGTGTGTTTCTGCTAGAGTATATATTAAAAATTCATAAAACCAGTTCGATGTGCAACTTTTTGCAATAAATTCAATGATAATACGATAACAAGCTGATTCTAGCACTAATAAGGTCCTGTGTGCGAGTTCTGCCTAGGGAACCGCTGATAGATTCCATTTTGATGGATTTTCAGATAGATTAACTTGAATAATAATTATTAACACTATAAAGAAGCAATAAAAAATTGATTAATAAGTAATTTTCTTCTAACAATTACACTTTCAATAATATTCTTACTTTTCTATGCAATCAAATTAGCAATAAAGTAGTTATGTTATAGTATTAGCATTATAATTAATATCTTGTGAAAAGTACCCATACAATCTAATGATTGTTAGATGATTCTAAAATTATTGAAAGTGTAATTTTTAGTTAAAAATTTCGTATTAATCAATTTTTTATTGCTTCTATATAGTGCTAATAATCAGTATTATTCGAGCTAACTTATATGAAATTCCATGAAAGCATATTTTGAGTGCGCGATTGCATGATTTTGTTTTGTAGTAGACACTAAGTACTATTTTTGATAAAGTATCCAAGGTTAGGTAATCTGTCGTTGCTGTGTTACAAGCGTTTAAAGTTGGGAAATTTTAAGAAAACGGAATTAGCGTTTTTCGGGACTTTTCATAAAATTTCAGTATCTCAGCAAGGATTCAACTTTTGACTTGTGGCTTATAAATTTTTAACTCATTTGTTTCGCTTGCGTTTGTTTGATTTCGTGTTATTATCTTTTAAGACACATATATATGGAAAGTATTTGAATGATCTAGAATTTCAAAAACAAAATATTTATGTTTTCGCTATCATCATATGCTAACATTTCTAACAAAGTAGAAGCACTAACTGAAAGTACTCACTTTCATGTGGTACATGTTCAATCTGTTCATCGATTAACACATTCTACTCCAGTTCATTATCAGAAATCAAATGATAGATGTTAGATGTTTTGTTTTTTGATATAAACTTGCAGATAATGTTTGTTATTTGATTTTGGAATTGAAAACCAATAGTGTCATTTTTCGGTAACCAAAACTTCGTGTCTTCGTTAGTCATATATACCTCATAACCTATGATATATAATTTTGTTTTAGTTGTAAAAGTAGTCTGTCAGGAGAGCAAATGAAGCGATTAACGCTTGAAACATGTAAGGCACAGTGGCCATCTTTCCATAATTTTGACAAAACATCATAACAATGTAGTTTGCTATAGAAACATTTTATAGAAATGGCGTCTGTTTTTGTTAAAATTATAGAAGCGATTTTGTAATATAAATATTTATGACTTGGACAAGTTGAAATTCAGGTGGGTGAAATTCCAGTGAAATTTCGGTTAACGCTTGAAGCATGTAAGGCACAGTCGGTATCTTTCCATAGAGCAGGATGACATCGGATTTTTTGAGTTAAAAAATGATTATGTTTGCATAATATAGTCTTCTTATGTGTCAGATATTAGTAGAAGTAGAAAAGGTTGAATTTGGACAAAAGTTGTTTTCGATGACAAATCTTCAAGCGCTACCCTTGTCCTGAATTCTTGTCAGCAATAGCTTTACTTGTAAAACTAACAAATTATACATTATTCGATGCAGTTTTTCACGTTGATTCCGAATATGTATAGATTGTTTGGATAAAAGCCTGTTTTGTAATGAGAAAAGAAGCATTTTATCTGAAAAACCGAGAGGTTTTTGAAAATCTTCCTATAGAGCTAGATACATTTCCGCGTTTAACCGCTTATACCACAAATGCAGGAATATGAGATGAGTCTTTTAACCTCTTTTTGAACTCGATTAATGCTTAGCTAGCTTTGGCGCACTCATTTTACTGCAGAAAGCTTTTTTAAGTGCGACCCTTTACAGAAAAAAACGCTCGCGTAACCTCAAATTTTGACTTTTTCAAAAAGACATTTTTATCGAAGGATAGCACGATGTTTGCTGATTCCAAATGTGTACTTACATTTGAGTAGAAGCTGAATTTGGCATGAGAACATCTAGCGTTTCCGAAATTACGCTAATTTTAGCCATATTTTGCCGTCTAACTTTACTCCTTAAGGAAAACACTTGGGACGAAACATTTATCGTCATTAAATTCGCCATTGTTCATAGTATATATAATGCTATTACAGACAAAAGTGAACTTACGTTTTATGACCAAATTTTCGCCTAGAAGCCTGCTGTGTAAGGACACTGTTAAAAATAAAAATTTCAGAATATATGCGACGAACATGTACAACTTAACATAATTTTTAAAGTAAATAGAAATTAAAATACGATATTTCGACTATATATTCGGTCATTGTCAACTTGAACTATATTGTTAACTTGATGTACATGTTGACGCTTTATGTGGAAATAAAAACTCTTTGCATCAGATATATTTCAGCTTGCTATCTTCTTTGCTTCTATTCTACAGTCATCTAACTATGAAAGGTAAAAGCTACTCAAAAAATATTCTTTTATTGTTCCGTTTTATCAACTCAAACAAGAAGAATAAGAGAAGAGAAAGGAACGTGATCAATGCAACCATTTTGGTCTCTTGCAAACTACAATATACTATCGAATATAGAGAATGATCATTATTAAATATGTAAAGATACTATATTTATAAAAGTTAAACTGGCCTGGTGTCAAGTGAATCCAACAAATACTGCAGTCCACGAAGCCGGTACCCTTTACTCACTGCCAGAACCTTTCCAAGCTATCTTTTTCTGATTCCACAAATTTGATTTCATCCCGCAGGAGTAGACGTAGAATGATACAGAACGACTACTACCGTGAGGTACTAGAGAACTAGCTCTAATCACTTTTGAGTCTTCCGTTAGTATATCACCGGTGTTTTTCCTCTAGTATAATCTCAAAATTTTTATCTGTAAACCTACGATCGATCAGAGTGTTGTTCTTCCCAACGGCTGATTTTCACGGTCTCAACAAAACCTTGTAAAGAAAACAAAAAGCATTCATAACTATTTCTAAAAGAAACAACATGGGCCGAAATTCACTTGGCATCAGGCCAGTTTAACTATACTAATATAGTATCCCATTTTACATATTTAATAATGATCATTCTCTTTATTCGATAGTATATTGTAGTTTGCAAGAGACCAAAATGGTTGCATTGATCACGTTCCTTTCTCTTCTCTTATTCTTCTTGTACGAGTTGATAAAACGGAACAATAAAAGAATATTTTTTGAGTAGCTTTTATCTTTCATGGTTAGATGAGTGTAGAATAGAAGCAAGGAAAGATAGCAAGCTGAAATATATCTGATACAAACAGTTTTTATTTCCACATAAAGCGTCAACATGTACATGATAGAGTGATCACTGATGCATGAATTATATGCGTATATCCTGCCGATTCATCGTAGAATATAACCGATAAGGTAATGTTTGCTAGGTGTGAAGAAAACCTTGTTACTTCTACTTTCGGAGAGTGTATAATCGTGGGCGCGAGCGTTACTCGCAGTTTCTTGCTAGAGATAACTCAGCATCCAGTGAATGAGTCCATTTCTCCGTGGATCAAGCAGAAGCGAGTGCTAGCTACATTCTGAAAGCCATATGCATACAGGAAAAACTCACAACTTTGATGATATCGACCTTTGTCGCATTCCTCAGTCGTGCATACTTTTATTGGCAGATATCTTTACATAGTTAACATATTTATTGAAGCCTATACCAGAGAGAAATCCTTGTAGAATGGACTCGCTTTCTGAAGAAAAGCCCGTTTTGATAACTATGATGGAATGAGAAAAAATAGTTTGACTTTGAGAGCAAAAAGTAGCTATTGTCTGAAAAAGTAGATGGTTACTCATTTTAGGTGGATGGATTTCGTCCTTGTATAGTCATAAGTGGCTGAACCATGAGTCGAATCTCAACAATGTCTCCTTCTTAATTTGCTGTTAATACAGCTTTTTTCATGAATTTTGACTAATTTTAGAACACATTTTATAACGAAATGTCCGTGGCAATCGCAACACACAAAATTAAAATAAAGTTTTGAAATTAGTTTTAGCTGTTGAAATCCTACTTTCTAAGTAAGCACTATAACTACACATCGACACGGTGCGCATAACACATACAAGAAAACTATTTCTTCCTGTTTGTTTGTTCTGCAATGAAACTTTGAGAAAGTGAATGTCTTTTAACCAATAAATATGCACCTTAATCGTTTTATCCCACCGTATTCTTTCTTGCGTGAAAACGCACTTTTTTAGGACGTTTTCTAACGACGTTAAAATGATATAACTTCGAATTTTTCTCTTTTTGTAAACGCATCTAGAAACGACACGTTAAAACGCACTTTTATATAAAATTAGTGCGCTTCAACGACCATTTTAACGAATACCCTCAAAAGAGATCTTTCCCCTTATACAAAATGCCTATAAGACTCAGGGAAGCTTCTTTAGCTGAAAAATGAATTTGTCGATAACAGTACCTTCAGAAAGTCACAAAATAAACTTGTAATCATATTTTCAAAATAATTCGGCCAGTTTTTGACGCTTTGAATAAGTGTTCTATTGTCCCGACGACCACTCGAATGTGTAATGTGTGAACGTAAGAAACGAGTACATAGCATTCAATGTTAAAAGTGCCTGATACGCATTTTGTTCCGTGCATGGTTTGCGACCGGTTACTCGATCCCACGCAACAACGTAAGCGCACAGTGTACGATGCGTGGCCAACGTTGGAAAACCGATGCAAACCGTGATGCTGATACTTTTCAACATTTCAGCATCGTCTATTGCGCGATGAGAAATGCTACTGTTAACAGGATCTTGGGTGATCTCCGAGTCCGCCCAATACGGTGATGCGCATGGAGAACAATCCTGTTATAGCGATTTTACGATATCTCGCTCATGGCTACGCCTGTGAACATACGGGGAAAGGGTTAATTTAATGGATTTACTAGAAATTGGCCAAGCAGAATTTGGATTTTGGAATTTGGCCAGAAATCAAACTTCCCCAAGAATTTGGCCGTTTTGCCAAATTCTATTAGAAATTGGGCACGAATCTGAATTCTACAAGAACTTGACTGTTTTGCCACTAGAAAGTGGCCACAAGTGTAAATTCATGCTAATTTGACTTTAATGTGTTTGCTGCAGTTTCAAGGAGAAGAGATTACAAATATATGTAGTAGCAATCATACTGAATACAATGTACAACGATGAGAAACTATTTTGCGCAATCGTTGTAGCAGCAGACAGTATGCCAGATCGGTATACCGCAATAGCGGTATACCGATGTTAGTTGTGCCATCAACACCACATATGGATTACGCTGATAACGCATTACGGGTTGACAAATCTGGATGTGGAATTATGCATTTCGGATGGAATTTGAAACCAATATTATTGCAACAACAAATATCACTATTATTACAAAACATCACTGTTAACATTGATGATAACATGACGTATCCAAATCCAATTGATTTTAAAAAAATGAATCATTTCTTTGCAGCTGCTCATCGTATTGGGAGATTGCTTCGTTCTGCTGGTGGTACTACTCGAGCAGCGACTATCATCGAAGAATTTTTAGAATTTGGATACCAACATTTGATATTTAATCAACCAAATTACAAACAATCATTCATCATATATAGTCTTGTCCTCCTCGTTACTACTACAATCATTGCGCTATTAGTGCTATTACCGTATTGTTGTTGTCGCATTTGTTATCGAAAATTCAAACCAAAATTGGTTAAGCAAAAGAGAAAAGCTCATTAATTTGTTCAAATACAGTTGACTATAAACATTTTCTTCTGCACACAAAATCTGAATTTATTGCTTCAGTTTTACAGATATATTCTCAAACACATACACAGGGCAGGCGCGAGGCTTCTAAAATTGGGGGTCCATACATTTTTTATGAATTTTCGGTATAAAACTTTTTTGCTATATTATATGGTCGAAACTAAAAATGTCGAAAGAAAAAATAGCGAGAAGAATAATGTTCGGAAAAAAATGATACAAATGTCGAAAGGTAAAAACATCGCAAGATAAAAATGTCGAAGAATAAAAACGTCGAAAGATAAAAATGTCGATAGATAGTTTAGCATGGTTTTTTTAATTGAGTAGATACAAAGATAAGAGTTCAAATTGAGTAAAATTTATTTATTAGAAAGAAGAACGAATGAAAGACAAGTAAAAAAGATCTCGTTAAATCAATTGATCAACGTCAATCATTTCTTTTTTGCCACAACGAACCACACACAACAACAGTCACACCAGTAAGAAGTTCAGATGCAGTAATTAAATAATCACTATATCGATTAAATAAAGTATCTATTCGACTTTGTAATGCCGTTGTACGTTTATTTTTTTTCGTTGATGCACCGGAGGACCATTGAAGACGAACGTTTTGTACGCGTTTCTCTTCTGCTTGCATGAAGGTGATCAGTTGCCAAACACTTGGATGATTTCGTTGAAGGCGAGAATTTAAAGACGACTTCAGAAAAATTGACACCGCGTACATTTTATGTATCACACGTTTCGTACCTTATTTAGTACATCATCAATCGAAAGACTTTTACAAATGATACATAGTATAGAATAAAAGTGAATTGAAAAAAATAAAGAACACAGAACAAGAAAACTTTTGCTGTATAGACTAGTCCAACAGCAAAAATTTTTATAAGAAAAATGTGTCTATTTTTCTCGATACATAAAATGTACGCGGTGTCAATTTTTCTGCTCTTCATTATTAGATGCTTTCACCGTACACGTTTCCACAACTGTAACTTTTAACTTTTTTCGATATTTTTAGTCTTCTACATATTTATCTTTCGATATATTTACCTTCGACATTTTTACGTTTCTCTATTTTTACTTTCGATATTTCTATCTTTCGACATTTTTATATTTCGCTATTTTTCCTTTCGACATTTTTATTTCGATATTTTGACTTTCGATATTTATGTTTCGATCAAAGTGTAGGGAATCATATTATATAGCAAAAATTTCTTGTACTGTTCTTTTACATATAAATCTATAAAGCTACTAAAATTAGGTCATAACACTCTTAGCTAAACAAATTTCCTTACTGAAACGAAGAATTTAGTAAAAAATGTTGTCTAGTTGTATGTGTTCATCCTTAGAACCTGATTAGTAAGTTGATCGGCCAACTAAAAGATAGAAATAATGATGTCAACTATTGACAGGAACGAAAAAATATTAGCGTACTAAATTGTGAATTTTGTGAAAAAAGAACAGAATTCGATTATTTGGGGGAGGAGGGATTACTCCCCCCTAACTTTTGATTTCATTGTACATAGATCATACTCTACAATATCATTTTTTCTATAAATAATGTATAAAGAGTCATAGGAGCAGGAACATAACTATGTTGAATCAGTAAAATTCAAAATGTCCGCAACTACATTTAGGCGGATCAACACACTTGCGCCGATAGAGATAATAGTTTAGTGGTATAAATTTGCTTTAATACGCATAAATATTATTTCGTCGCATCGCGTACGAAACTTCAGTCGTTTAGGAAAAACTCGCGTAGGTGCGCATACTCAGCTTTTAAAGTGTCACGCATTTTTGATACTTTTACAGTTGACAAACTTACATTCTTTTATACAAGATCACTCCACTCCCACGCAACAACAGTAACAAAACCTTTATCCATACTATTTATCGCCTAAATAGTTGTTACGTGGTGTTTCATACGTAACTTGTATCCCCCTTTGTGTCAGTTTAGCGTCTCGCATGTAACTTCACACTTAGAAGAAGAAGCGCGCGCGGTATAGGGTGCTCCCGAGGCAGTTTCGATAACCCCGATATCTTTCCTACAGCTGATGATCCTCAGAGACGGTCACCCGTTCTTCTACTAGTCACCAAGCAAGCTGTAGCTCTGTACAGAAGGCCAGCCTGACACCGAATTCTTTTTGCCCAGTTGCTAGAGCTCCCCATACACACTCACTAACCACATATTAATGTTGAGTTTAGAAACTCATGAACACATGTTCGGTACAGTATACGTGAATCAGATATCAAACCTACGACGCAAAGGTAATTGGAGAAAATGTCTCTCCAGTTTTCTTGCGATAAAATACATTTTGGAAAAATGAAAAGAATCTGTTGAGAATCTACATTAAAGAGCTTTCGAGCTGTGTGTTGAAAAATTTTCTATCGCTTTTAGTTTCCGCAGAATGAACGAATCTTTGCTATGCTCTGGAAACTAAGTTTGTGAAAAAAGAAAATCTGGTGTTTTTCGACAAATGTAACTCGCGCGCTTGGCAAAATCTAAAAGCAAGGAAAGTCTCTTGTGGATAAACCGTTTTTAGCTTTGCTTCTGCAACAGAACGCAATAAAACAAGTTCCCTCCGCTAAACGGAAACTAGGTTTTTCCAGAGCAGGAAAGTGTGTGACCACGAAGGTCAGAAATTATTCGCGTTTTGTTGAACATCATTTTTTACCAGATAAGGATTTCGGGAAAAACACTGTTTTTCACAAAGCAGGCTTTTGGTAAAATTAACAGTTTGACCAGTTTTTGCCATGCAAAAGTAATCTAAGATCGTCTAGTTGGCAGAGAAAGTTCTGCTTTATAAACTAGTAAGTAAATCAAAGTTTAATGTTTTAATTTGAAGTAATTATTGTCAAAATGAAAAGATATTTAAAATTTTTATTATTACAGCCTAAACTTTTGGTGATACGAAAGATTCGCTCACTACCAGAAGCTTAAACGCGATAGAATATTTCCGAATATATAGTTAGAAAGCTCTCGAAGTATACATTCGAAATAATATTTTTGATAATCTCGGAACGTGCTTTGTCACAAGAAAAAAGGCGAGACAATTGTACTTTTGCATCGTATGTTACTATTGCGGCGATAAATAGTATGCATAAAGATTTTGTTACTGTTGTTGCGTGGGAGTGGAGTGATCTTGTATAAAAGAATGTAAGTTTGTCAACTGTAAAAGTATCAAAAATGCGTGACACTTTAAAAGCTGAGTATGCGCACCTACGCGAGTTTTTCCTAAACGACTGAAGTTTCGTACGCGATGCGACGAAATAATATTTATGCGTATTAAAGCAAATTTATACCACTAAACTATTATCTCTATCGGCGCAAGTGTGTTGATCCGCCTAAATGTAGTTGCGGACATTTTGAATTTTACTGATTCAACATAGTTATGTTCCTGCTCCTATGACTCTTTATACATTATTTATAGAAATAATGATATTGAACAGTATGATCTGTGTGTCATAAGGTGCCTTTCTTATTCGAAATCCCTTCAAATGCATCTTAAAATAAATCAGTTCAGAGATTTTTTATTCTCAAAGTTGTTTAAATGTATTTAGTAATAATAATTCACCAGATGCTTCAGCTATAAATATCTTCAAACGAATTAATACAAAAAATACATTTAAATCTATTTGTTCTAAAAATGCATTTAAAGAGATTTAGAATATGAAAGACATTTAAAGACATTTCTATAATAAGAAAGGCACTGCAAATTCGAAGTTACACTACTATTTTATGTTTGGCTTAATTATACACCGTTCGATAGAGAACTTCACGAGCTACAAAGTGTTATATGAGCTAGCCTTAAGACAATGTAACTGGGTAGTCTAAGATCCGAAATATTCAGTAGCAGCCCAGGAAACCGCCCGGTAAACGTCGTTCATGTTCATAATAAGGACTTATTTTTTCGTTAACCACTCTACTTTACCCATCATTCGACAGAGAATTTCACGGGCTATAAAATGATATATAAGACAGTATTAAAAAATCGGTAGTTCAACGTCGTTCATGTTTATAACGGTGATTAATGTTCTCGTTAGCCATCGTATTTCAGATCTTAGGCTGCCCGGTTACATTATTTAATACTGTCTTATATATCATTTTGTAGCCGGTGAAATTCTCTATCGAACGATGTGTAAAGTAAAGTGGGTAACGAGTAGGTGAAAATTTTTAATGCATTGTATACATTAGAAGGGCTTTTGAGATTCTAACAATTATCTGGCGTTGAAAAATAAGGTGTTCATTCACCTGAATTCACCTATGTTTTTATTCTCTAGTTTATCTGTTTATATATGTACACAAGGTGTTCTCCTTCCTCATAAAATCTGTCTATAATCAACTTTTCAAGTTTTCATCGATCATACGGGCTCTCGTCATGCTGCTACATACCATACCCATTATGCGTCAAACATTGCACCCTTGTATACCATGTTCCCGGAGAAACAACCGGGTAAAACATCGTGCAATAAATAGATAATTCAATTCTTCACAGAGTTATTAGTTTAATTTATTTTATCCAGGAAAAGCGAGAGTCATCAAAAGTCCGCGACCTAGAATAACAATCACTCAGGCCAAGCACAAACAAACGGACAAAAGTAAAGAGATAATAAGAGACTAGAAATAACCCGTGGAAAACCACGGACACCCAGCATTTATATATGTTGTAAAAATTTTCTATGTCAAGCGTTCCGGACAGATATGTGTATATTCTTATTCTTATATTCTTATATTCTTATGTATATATGTTGAGCGTTCCGGACAGACAGACAGACAGACAGACGGACAGATATGTCTTGACTATTCTTATGTATATATATATAACCCAGGTGGATGCAAATGAGATATTAATATGACGTAAAAATGACCATTAATGACCAAAAAATGGTCAATTAACTGGCAATTAATGAGGCATAAATGTGCCATTTTGTATCTCGTTTTCATTGTCCTGGGCAACATCAAAAAAGAAGAACTGTAA